AAAACGCGTTCGAGAAATCGTTAAAACGGCGTTTTAATGATTGGTTACCGTTAAAACGCTGTTTTAACGAAATTTAAACTGGTTTTAACGCGTTATTTTCAAAGGTTTGTCTGACTGGGTATATTTCGGCCACTGTGCTCCTCACATTATCTCGGTTTGTCTTTGGGCACTTTTTCTCTTTGTTTTCCTTGGTGATCGTTGATTTTCGTCTGATTCGTGTCTCCTATTTACCTATACGACCACTTTCGGGTCTTCACCCAAATTATGCGCTCATCTCTTTGAAATTTTACGTTCCCCTTCTGACACAAACTACTGATTTGTCTCTCCAGTCGATGCTTTTCCATTGAAAAGCCCTATCAGCCTAGGGCCCAGCAAATCGACTTTCGATGTCGATGAACGTTACTTGTTATTAAATACCAACAGCCTTAAAAGAAACTTCTATTGAACCGTAATTTATGTTTAGGTTTTTTCTAATTAGAAAATTTCAGAAGTACTTATAACGGGGTAATCCCTTTTCGTCCCCTTTTTTTACGGACATCGGTCGTAGAACTCCGTTCCGAACTTCAGTTTCTTTGAAAATGCCCGATGTTCGGAATGAAAAGGCTCGAAGGTCGGAAATGAAAATACCGGATGTTTGGAACGGAAAATACAGGATGCTCGGAACACAAAGTGACGGATGTTCGGAATAAAAAATGACCGATATTCGGAAGAGAAAAGAATGTTTTTAATAACATAGTTTATTTTTTTTTATTTCCTAGTATAGTCTTTCACAAAAAAAAACATAAGACAGCAAAAGTTCATACAAGTGAGAGAATAAATAACTTTTGTAAGAAATTTTTTTTTTATGTCTAATGTTTTTTGCAGCATGTCTTGTTTTTTCTTTTTTGGAATTTGTTTAATATTGACATCATCTGTTTCACCTACTTTTTTTTTCAGTTGATGAGCTGCAGGCTGAACATTTATGAGAATTGTTAGTAAATTTTTTGTTACCAGCACCTAGCCTCTATAAAACAGAGAAGTTTATAGTTTTGCTACTCATTCCCACTATCTATCTGGAAGACCGATCGCTCACGATTGAACTCTACACTATTTTTAAAAACCCTAACTGAATGTACAAGAAGAGGTTGCTACACTCAACGACTTAAAATATACTATATGAATAAATTGTTTTCTATGTTGAAAACCATACACCAAAATTCATTTTCAACATCCTGTATTTTTTCATTCCGAACATCTGGACGACTTTCGTTCCGAATATCCGGAAAATCGATTTTATTTTTATATCCGATTTCAAACATCCGGCTATTTGACCGGATGTCCGGAAGAGTGGGGACGAAAAGGGACAAACCTCTTATAGCTTATAAGTTATAAGTTATTTCAATGAAGGAAATCGTACGTTTTCACCGATTCAGCTATCTTTATTCCCTAGACTGAAAGCCTAGGGTCTAGAAACGGAAATTTACCTCTGTCTGTCTGTCTGTCTGTCCGTAACGCTTCGTACAAATGGCTATGCTCATACTACAAAGTACCATGATCATCGTACAAATGAGTATCACCATAGTACTAAGTGCCATGGTGATAGCACAAATGGCTATAGCCAGAGTACAAAGTACGACAGTCATTGTACAAATGACCATAGCCATAGTACAGAGCACCACAGTCATCGTACAAAGTACCACAGTCATGGTAGAAATGACTATAGTCATAGTAGAATGTACGACTGTCGTGGCATACGTGATGATAGTTATCGTATTTTGAAACATGAGGGCGGTCATTTTGATACGGTAACTGTGATAAATTGGACTACGAATAGGGCCGCTTGTGTCATGACTACAGTGCTTTGTATCATAGGTATGGGTTTTCTGCTACATTTCTTGTAAGAATATCTATATTAAAAGAAGAATACTTCACATTGATGATAGAGGTGACTATTAAAAGTTGAAACCGCCAAAATCGTGATATAATTGGTAGTATTAGTCAGCATCTACTGAGATTTATCTTTGTGGGATTAATTTGGAGTTTTCGATAAGTCCATAAGTATCGTGGGATAGATCTGACTTTCGTAAGATATGGGTGTGGAAAAGAGTGAAACTTAGCAAAGATTAATGATGATGGTGAGAGTGAGAGTGTGGGTAGGGCTGTTGGAAAATAACATCAGAATGGAACAACTGTTGAAATACACAAGTCCTCTAGAAGAATAAATCCTGAAGAAATAAGTTCCGATAACCTGTTGTTTTCTAGGTTTTAGAGTCAGACAGAGGCTAGGAATCTTCCATTTCTACGGTCGTATATCAGTCTAGGGTTAAGCTAATCGACACTCGATTAGCGTTACTTGTTTTTTTCGATCCTTCCTTGAACAAATTATGAAACTTATTCAGTTAAAACATAAAAAACACTATTTGGTCAGTATTTAAGTGATTCGAAATATGCGAGTTTCACATTTTAGCGCCAGTGGAGCTGCCCTGACAAGCTTTTTCTTATTGTTTTGTTTAATCATTGTTCCCTTTTAAACAGCGCAAAAAGAAAAAATGGAATGAAACGGTTTAAAAAGCTTCTAACACAACCGAAACACAATTTAACCGAATCGAACCGAACCGATTTAGTTTTCAAAAATCTTTAACCGAACCGATTTTGGTTCGGGTGGAAATCGACCTTAGTCGCATGTCTGTTCTCTACAAACCTCTATCGGTCATTATCTAGAACAATAGAACGCAACATTTTTACAGATCGCATAGTGAAATCTTGTGAAATTTTCGTACAAGTGAATATTTTGTTATTAAAGCATAATTTATTGCTAGATATCTCTTAGAATCCTCTGCGGATGGAGTAAATATCGGAGTTTTAAATGCTTATTCTTTCGTTTGAATTCTCTGACATTTTTTGAAAACAACACGGCTTTCATGCCTGGTTTATTCTTTTCAAAGACAGCACACTAAAAATGCTACCCACAATTAACTCGAGGCTGTGGGTGTGCGGTGTCGATGCGGTGTGTGGGCCTGGGTGTCAGTATGGATAATGAATACACCCACACTCACACCCTTCTCGATGTCACACTCACTAATGACAATGGCTACTTGACAACATCGATTTTTCATAAATCAGCCACTGAACCTTACATACTGCCATATACATCTGATCATCCTCGACATGTTTACAATAATATTCTATATGCAGCTCTGTTAAGAGCAGCTCGGATATGCTCAAATGTCGAAGATTTTGATATGGAACGAATTCGTATTGATTTATCATTGCTATTGAATGAATACCCGCCATCGTTCATTTCTAAACATTTCATTCGATTCTTTGAAATTAATAATGCTATATCAGTATTAAATAGTCTCAATCCAGAAGCTTACCATGCATTACATCAAAAATTACTGCATGAGCCGACTCGATGTGAGAAACAAATACAAGCAAATGATGAAGACACTAATCCAATGCCAGATGTACTCAAGAAAAAAAAACCTTGGGATCCTAATTTTATGTATGCAAAATACAATTATGAGAGTGGACCGAGGTCAGTGTTTCAACATAAATTTCGTACATGATGGAAAACGCATTTTGGTCATGAAGCATCCAGTGTCGAACATGTTCATATCAAATTTGCGGTGAAAACAACTCGAACGCTTGAAGACGCTTTCGTAAACAAGAGACCACCAAAACATATGTTGCTGAGAAAACCAACCAATGTGTTACCGCCACCAGAATCCACAAGGAGTACAACATGATAGATAATTTACCAATTATTGAGAACTATAGAACTTTTTTCTGAACGCGCCTATCATAACGAGAGTTCTTATGAAGCTAAGCAAATCAACAACAAAATTTAATTAAAAAAAAAATCTTAGAATACATTGATCATTTTTAGCTTTTCCTAAATTACTTACAGGATAATTCACATAAATAAATAACTCTTTCATTATTTCTAGATAATCCAAAAAAGTCGAATTCCAACCAAGTCAAGCTCAAGCTCAAGCTCAAAATCAAAACCTTCCACGAAACAAGCATAACAAAATCAAACATACAACATAATCTAAAATCAAGATATCCATTTTCAGGATACATTCAGGTTGACACATCAACAACAGTCGAAACGCGTCGTAAGTAGCTTTGAATCTAAAAAATTCCATTCTAAACACACCCACACCCAAGATTAAGAATAATTCAGAATAATTTAAGCCATCTGATGAGACCCTTTAGCAAGGTCGAAATCTAGATCATGGCAGCTTATTCGCACTACTGCTTTGTAAATTGATTCTTCTATTACATTAATGTCATTTTTGATAATTTTTTGTAAATTCTTGAAGATTCTAGAATTTGTTTTGAATTTTCGATTAATAATTCAGAATAATTTAAGCCATCTGATGAGACCCTTTAGCAAGGTCGAAGTCTAGATCATGGCAGCTTATTCACACCCACACCCTCCATTTAAAGAATTATCATTTGAACATATTGAATCTCGACTTAAAAAATTAGTGCATCTTGAGCGAAAATATTTATCAAAAAGAAATAATGATAAATTGATCAAATTTAAAGAAGATATTTCTGAGAAACAATTATTGAAAACAATATCTACTGCTTCTTTTATGAAAAATCAACCGGTAAATTTTTATAATTTTATATAGAATATATTTTTATATAGAATAATTTTCTTTTTAGAACGAATATATGAATCGGTTGATTACAATACGAGAAAAACAAGCAGAAATTTGGAAAGAACAAGTAAAGTTTGAAACAATAATTTATTGCAAATTTTTACCAGAAACGTTTGATCAATTGGAACGTTTTTTTTACACATACTGATTATTTACCATTGAACAATAATGAAAAAATTATTGAAACGAAAAATAAACGTTATAAAATTATACAAGAAACAAAACGTCAATGGTTAAATTATTTCTTAAATATTTATGAAATAAAAATACAAGAATATGAAGCACAATATCAAGATTAATTCATCAAATTAGAATCACTCTTCTCAGATAATAATAACATAACGAATGATACAACAACATTAAATAATATCAAAGAATATATTAATAATCGAATAATTAAATTAAAAAAATATTTATGATGGAATGGCATCTTTTCGAAGAATAATACTTCAAAATCGTCAACGTTCATCAACAAAAAAAAATATCGTCGGTGTTTCACCTGAACCATATCTCGATCTTATTTCTACTCCATTTGATAAACGTCAATGGAATTATCTTTCACTTGGTAAGATAATATTCTAAAATTATTTACAAAAAATTCTTCGTTTATTTATTTATTTATTTATTTATTTATTTATTTATTTAGGTCCATCTTATATAAGATTGAATCAAAGTGCTATTCGACCAAAACATCAACAAGAAACTGAAATTGAAAAACACCATAAAGATATTTATTCAAAAGTTGAAACACATCTTACTGGATATCCTCATCATATACCAAGAAATAATCCAATTTTCAAAAAATATTCGGATCATCTTCTTGATTATTTTAATCATACTTATTTTACTCCATTATCATGTAAAGATCAATTAATAAGTCGTGAACAAGCACAAATTCTTGGATCAATTCGACGAATAATTCAAAATATGAATCTTGTCATTCGTGTTACGGACAAAGGAATTAATTTTTATATTGGTTCAGCTATTGAATTTGAAAAAAAAGCTCAAAAGTTTTTCTCCGATACAAATGCTTTTATAGAATTATCTTCCAATCCATTCAATGAAATATTAGATAAAGTCACACAATTGCTCAATGCACTTCGTGGAAAAGATCTTATTCGCAAATGGCAATATGAACAAATGATGCCAGATCGAACGAAATGTGAATTAGCTCATTTATATTTTAATCCTAAAACACATAAGGTAACTTTTCTTAAAATTTTTATTAATATTTAATTTTTTATTTAATTTCTAATTTTTATAGGATGGTATACCAGTTCGACCTATTGAAAGTACAATTCATGCTTCAACTACAAAAATTTCAAAATTCTTAGACAAAATTTTACGACCAATATTTGATGATAAATGCAAAGATACAACTATTATAGATGGCACTTCTTTAATTACTGAACTTTCAAAATATAATAAAAAAAGGTCTCTTAAAGCCAACAACTCTTTTTTGTACATTTGATATTCGTAATTTATATACAATGTTACCACAAGAAGAAGTATTAAATATTCTTATGAAATTTCTGACTACAAATGGTTATAGAAAAGTGAAAGGAATTAGCATTGATACAATAAAAAAATTAGCTTCCATTGTAATTAAAGATAATGTTTTTGCTTATGGCAGCAAAATTTATAAACAAACAACTGGTGGTGCCATGGGCTCATCATTTACATTAACATTAGCAAATATTTTTATGTCAGAATGGCAAAAAAAACTTGTTGAAGAACAAACAAAGACAAGCGAATTATATGGCCGGTAAGACATCAAAAATAAAATAAATCAATAAATAATTGAGAATACAATTTTTTTCTTTTTCAGATACATCGATGATGTTTTTATGACTTGGAATAAATCCGAAGAAGAATTAAGAATATTATTAGATGACGCAAATACATGGAATCCAAATATTAAATTAGATTATAAAATAAATAAAAGTCTTCCATTTCTTGATCTTTTACTTACAAACAATAATGGAACATTGGCAACATCTGCTTATCATAAGCCTGCAGCTGAACCATATATAACACCATTTACATCTGATCATCCACGACACGTTTTTGCAAATATTATTAAAACTTCTCTTGAACGTGCTACCAGATATTCATCCACATTTGAAGAATTTAATAATGAACGACGTGATGTAAAATTGATGTTACTCTATAATGGGTAAGTATATTTACAATGTATTTGAAAACAAACTTGTTTTATTCTAAATGTTTTAGATATCCTTCAACATTTATTGAAAATGAATTCACGAAATATTTCTACGAATATAAATCAACATCACCATTTTTACAATACATTGATCAGGAAAAAAATTATATTCAAATGCGACAAAAATTATTAGGTCAACCAACATTTCGTCAGTCACAAGTCGCATTAAGTGCCGCACAAGCAAACAAAGATAATGATTTAGGAGAAAATCCAATAAATCAGCCAGAAAAATATCAAGACAAAACAGAAAAAAAAATTTCAAATTTTGGAGAAAAAATATTCATACATTATACACACGAAAGAAGATTCCATTCATGTCAACGTGATATGCATAAAATATACGAAGACGTCTTTCAACAAACACCAGCAATGGATACACACTTAATTGTTAGCAACCGAAATCGTCGCGATATACAACATGAATTAATAAGAAAACGACCAGACAAAAAGCTATTACAAAATAAGACAACAAAAAGTGAGTTTTCAATTAATTCCAAAAAATTTATTTTAAACATCTTTTATATCAATTTTATTTCTACAACTATCTAGAAGAAAAACAACCCGAGAAAACACCCAACGAAAAAATTACAACAACAACATAACGAACGAAAGAAATAAAATATAACGAAGCTACAAAATGACTCGACACAACATTCAAAAAAAAACAAGACAAATATTTAAAAACTTTCATAATTTAAGAAGATAGCAATTGTAACATTCAAATTTTTCATATATCAATAAAACAATTCAGATAAATAAAAAACTATGAATTGAATTCTTCAACATATATCTATTTATTTAAATATATGTCAGAATTTGAATTAATTTTTTGATTTTTATTTTTAAATCATTAAAATTATTTTCCATCTGATGATTTGGGTTGTTCCAATGAAATCTATAGATTATGGTAGCTAGTCACACCCACACCCACACCCACTTCTGAAATCTCTGCTTGGTCTTGATTAAAGTCGTTCATGCAATTAGCTATGTCATTCGTTTTTTTTAAGAAAAGAGTTTTCTAAACTTTCGCATAGTAAACTTAACTATAAGAATCATTTACTTTGCAGTGTTAAACTGGATTTTAATTTTTTTTGTTACTATGGTATGGTATTTATTGTAGTCGAGAGTTTTTCAAGCATATTTGTTTCGATGGATTTGTCTGTTCATTCAAATTTTTCTGAAAACCACTAATTTTAAATAAATTTAATGTATGGACATGAGTCAGAGCTGAATAGTAGAGAATATTTCTGCGTTGGTTACTCAAGCGATTTTTAAAAGATGACCAACATTTGCGCTATACCGGTTTCTTCGATTGAGGAAGCTTGTATGAAACATGGAGAAATGGATTCTTTCTATTGGAAATCGGAATCTACTTTCTAAAATTTTCGAAAGCAATTATCTCACTTTTCAATCTATAAGTTTACATCTCTTTAACCAATATATTATTTTCTCTTTATGGGTCGTTTATTTCTGGATAATCTTTCGAAAGTAAAGAAAAAACATAAGAGTTCATTCATCAATTGAAATCATGATTTTCAACAAAGCAATATAGTCCCTTGGAAGAAGAGAAGAACGAATGGTATATGTACTAAATACGCATATTAATTATCAACTTCAAGGACATAAACTCTTGGTTATGTGCCCGCACAGTATTCAATGCACATCTCTTAACAATGTAAGTGAGGAAATATTCGTACTTTTCAACTCATATTAAAAATACTACAAAATAATATTATTGTCACTTGACCTTTCAATGTTTTCTCACTTAATCTCAAAAACATTTATAGAAAAAGAACGGAGATTTTTTATGTGATACATTTTTTTAATATAATTTTTCGTGTAGGTCATTGTCAAGATCATAATAAAGCAGAAGGTTACGAAATCTCAAGGTTCAAAAATACAATAGAATTACTTCTAAACTTAAAACTCAACAATTTTGACGCAATCATAACAAATACTAATTCGGAATATTTGTTTTGATCGGTCTAAAAGATCTGGTAATTATCTCCTGGATTTAATATTGACGTCAAAGTAAAACATACTATTTTAGAGTATTTGGTTTGTCAACAATCTATCATATAATTCCATGATTTGTTTAGTTAGCATGAGAGTTTATGCAGATAATATCGAAGAAGTTCATTATGAATCATAATAACATAACTAATGAGTTCACGGTGATCTTTTATTTCTTAGTTTTATTCATTTTACCATATAAATATTAAACAGTTCTGTGGTGAAGTCTCACATTCATAATTTAATTGAAGTGGAGTCTATAGAAGTTAAAAGCGGATGAGACTACAGCTCCGTTTGGTGTATGCGCCTCATCATTTCTCCGTTAGATTGCTCGCATTGGCGGCGGAGCCTGTAGGCTCACGAGGCTTGAGCCTACCATAGCTTAGAAAAGGGTAGGCTTGGGTAGGCTTAATAATAGCGAAGTCTTTCATTATTGTTTAGTTTTCACGTATGACTGACAGTGACAGTAACAGATGACGGATTGTTACAAAGATAATTCATATTTTCTTTATCACCAATACCAACTCGAATTTAATAAGGTATCCATTGGACTTTAATATAAAATTTAAATCTACCAAGAAATCAACATTGAAAAAAAGTACCGGAAATCAGGGTGGCCAGATAAAAAATTGAAAATTCAGAAGATTATTTTTCAAAATCAGAAATCGATCAGCAGTTCTTTCTGAAAAATCAAAAATTAATAAGAAAGGGCAACATTTTGCAAATTAGTGGATCATATGCTAAAATGTGGACATCGGACGCTCTGCTGTGTTTCTGTTCCTCGACTTAAACATTATTTTTAAAGATGTTTCACTAAAAAGAAAGACGATATAGTAAATATATCGTGTAGTTAATACAAAAACATCGACAAAAAATACTTAACGTTGAACTTTTTTTCAATTCAAAATTCGTTCAAAAAAAGGAACAAAATGAATAATTGCACATATTCTGCGTAGATTAAGGGTACCCCCCCTCTTTTTGATGATTTCCATATCTCGCAATTGGCGCAGCCGATCAAGCTGAAATTTGTACCAGAAATAGAACACCTAAAATGACCAGACACGTGTTCGAGGAAAAATTTTTTTCAGGGGGTTTAGTGGTTTTTTGTAAAACCTTTGGTTTTCCATCTTGCCAAGGGAAACCCCTATTAAATTTTGTCAAAAGCAGCAGAAAATTTTTTTACAGGTACCTAGGCCTATATGTCAGAGGTAATTTTGAGCTTTTTCAAAAATCTCACTTTCTTTTTTTTTTATAAGGAAAATACGCCAAGATCCCGTGGCAAGAGGGGGTTTCTGGACTTCGGGACCCTACAATTCCGAGTAGGAAAGTCAGAAACGAAAACGCTCGATTTTACCTCTTGAGAATACCTTAAAGTATCAATGGTAAAAATTTCAGCTCAATTGGATAAAGTTAGAGGGGGGTTGTAATGGGCAAGATTGAGAAAATTAGTGTTTTGAGTTATGAAGAGAAGAAGAAAAGACTTTACATGTAATTATTGCCGAAACAAGAATTTTGTAATTCAGTAACTCTCGAGTAGTAAGCTATTTAGAGCCGAATGATGTCTCCAATTGCACATGGCATCTCAGGCTATCATTCCTTATAGGCAACTCGAAATCGAATTTTTGGTCAGAAAAGAGGGGGGGAGTACCCTTAAGAAATCCAACGAAAAGAAAGCGTTATATGTCATTATCTCGGTAATATTCATATTTCGTATCTTTTCTAATTCGCTCTAACAAGTTTGTTTAAGATAACATATGCTAATAAAAACCTTCTCAAGAATAACTGCCATCTATTTTAATTTTAAGTTAAGCCTTATCTTGGTTGTATATTGATCGGATTACGATAGTCTGTCTATAAATTCTGCATACGACTAAATATCGATTCGGCGTCAGAATCCGAACGAGGAATAGAAAAGTTGATTAGTAGAGAAGAACGATGAAACACCATCGATCTATTATAGTAATGGGTTATGATCGTATCTAATTTCAGTGACAAAGCAGTAATCGGAAAATGTATCGAATTCAGAAAAAAATCAGAAACACGTTCAAAATTTAGAAAATTTTCCTATTTGTCAGACGATCTGGCCATCATGGTTGTTAGGATCTGCCATCTATATATCTTATATAGATGGATGATCCTCCTCCTCCTTCTTTTTCTATCTGTTTCGTTGTTACTTCTCTTTTTCTTTTTTCTTTTTTTTTCCTTTTTTTTTGTTGTTTTTGTTTTTGGTTGTGTTTTTAAAAAAGGTTTTAGGTTCACGTTATTAATTTTTGAAATAAAAAGAATTAGAACCTAACAATGGTACACTAGCCGGTGTTTAATTATAAATCAATCCGCGTGGCAGGCAAAACAAAATTAAATGAGCATTAAATCTACTCGTTCTACACAAGATCTTACACAAATATCGATTAACTCTTTTATTTTATCAACTACAAAAGACAAATCGATGACTTCTATATCGGATACTATTGAGAATGTTAATATTGATTCTACACAATCTAAAACTAATATGATCACGGTCGATCAAAAATTAAATGAGGAATTACCATATACGCTTGGTCATGGTCCACATGATCAGCATTCAACTCAATCGACTAAACAGAATTTTTTGGTTTTTCAATCACAATGGCGTTTACTACAAAAATTTGACGGTTCTGGGAATGCAGAACATTGGTTGAAAAACATTATGGAAAAATTTGGTTCATGGGAAGCTACAATAAATGAACAATATGAATTAATTCCTAGTCTATTAATTGGAGATGCACTTATTTGGTATGCTAAACAACAAGATGATATGCCAACCTTCACTGCATTTATAAAAAAATTTCTACAATATTATGGTCAACAAGAATTGAACGAAAAAGTATCAACAACATTTATTCCATCTTCTTCACAAATACCACCGTGTCAAAAAAATGATTCTAAAGAAATTGTTTTAGACTCTCTTCGAAACCAAATGTTAATAACTAGTCTTGAAAAATTACCAAAATTCACCGGTAAATCAAAACAAAATGTATCTAAATGGTTAAGAGAAATTCAGCAATCAATGCATATGTTAAAATTAACCGATGAAGAAAAATTATTCTTTGTTCCTACATGTTTGGAAGTTGATGCAAAAGATTGGTTTTATGATAATATACATTATTTTTCAACATGGACGTTTTTTATACAAAAATTATTTAAAACTTTTGAATCATCTGGGAAAGCAGATATTTCATTTAATCGATTACGTCACTATGAACAAGGTACTAATCAAGATGTCCGTCAATACTATTTTGAAATTATGAAACTATGTAAAGAAGCCAATCCTTGTATGGACGATGCTAGTAAATTACAATACTTGAAAGATGGTTTAAAACCATCATTACGTTTCGATATTATATTAAAAAATCCAACAAATCCTGAAGAATTTTTGGAATATGCACAAAAAATTGCTGAACTTAAATCATTAGACGAACAAGATGATGTTATCCATTGTTCAAACGCAGATAACTTCACACGATCACCACCTGATCTTTTATCACATCAAAATAATAAACTTCGATTCAATAATCGATATGTTCCAACGTCACAACCAGAGTCAAATAAAGTCTATTACCAAAATAATTATGTTAAAAATAAACCGTTTCCAACACATCCAGTAGATATCACAACATCAAATCAATATCGTACAAATAATATACCAAAACCACCATATCAATGTTATAAATGTGGTGGTACCGACCATTATATTCATGATTGCCCACATTTTTATCAAGGGAGCTAACCAACGATGGTGTTAACTCCTGTATATCTATAATAAATCCATCACCTATCTTTATTTTAGCAAACATTAATCAAGTACAAATGCAAATTATGTTCGATTCTGGATCAACACAATCGTTTATTAATAAAGAAGTTTTAAATCGTACAATTCACTTTCCTATCAATTATAAGAAACATTATTATTTACTGGCTGACGGTAATACGACATTTGAAGTTATTGGTACAGTAAAAATATTTGTTGAATTCAATCATATAAAAACAAATATCGTAGTGGGTGTTGTCAATTCTTTATGTACAGATTGTATTTTAGGTATGAATTATATTACAAAATACAAGGTCAATCTTAATAATCAACAACGGCAAGTTCAAGTTCATACTCCTTTCAAAACTCTTCGAATACCAATGGTAGAGCAGTCGACAAAAACAAAAATAAAAACTTGTTTATTAAAATCTGATCGTTCAAATCCATCTCAAGAAAAACGTTTACCACTTATTTCTACTGTTTTTTACAACAATAAAAAAAAAGAACAAAATCATGAAAATAAATTATCCATGTTAACATCGATAAGCGAACATCATATTAAAACATTACTAATTCATTTACATGATCTCCCACAATCTCACGAATTGAAACAAATTTTGATAAAGTATCATTCGTTGTTTGATACATCCCGCACAACCATGGCCCAAACATCAATACCCCATGTTATTTGCACTAGTGATAATCCACCTATTTCTTCAAAACCGTATCCTCAAACTCTTGAAAAACAAAATGCTACATTTGAAATTATTCAGCAGATGATACGAAACAAGCAGATAAGAGCATCGAATTCTCAATATGCATCCCCAATATTATTGATAAAAAAACGTGATGGTTCTTATCGTTTTATTGTTGACTATCGAAAATTAAATCAAATCACAATTCAAGATAAATTTCCATTACCTAATCTTGAACAAACAATTCAAATGGTGGGAGGTCATGAATATTATTCAACATTAGATCTTCGTTCAGGTTATTTTCAAATACCTATTCGTGAAGAAGACAAACATAAAACGGCATTCGTTACCACTCATGGATTATACGAATTCAATGTTCTAGCTCAAGGTTTAAAAAATAGTCCTCCATCATTTCAACGTATTATGTCCAATTTATTATTACCCTGTAAAAAATTTAGTTTAGTATATCTTGATGATATACTAATTTATTCAAATTCTTTTCAACAGCACCTCGATCATTTAAATCAAGTTTTAGCAATCCTCAATAAACATCAATTTCAACTTAACCCACATAAATGTGAATTAGCCCGTACAACGATTGACTATTTAGGACATACAATTAGTAATCAAGGTATAAAACCACTTCAAGAGCGCATTCAAAAAATTTTGGACATTCCACAACCTGTTTCATTAAATCAAGCCAATGCTTTTATTGGGGCTATTGGATGGTATCGCAAGTTTATTCGAGATTATACAAACATCGCGGCACCTATATTAGCTGTTACTAATTTAACCAAGAACAACAAGTTTAAATTCAAATGGGATTTTCCTCAACGTAATGCTTTTGATAAATTAAAAATGGCTATTACATCCGAGCCATTATTTTTAAATTATCCTAATGTTAATGCACCATTAATATTAGCAACTGATGCATCTGATTATTGTATTGGTGGCGTGTTGTATCAAGAAATTAATGGTGAACGGAAAAATATTTATTTTTATTCACAAATGTTACCCAAATTACAACGTAAATGGCCAACCATTGAAAAAGAAGCATTAGCCATTTATTATTGTGTTTTACGTATGAAATTATATTTACTTGGTCATGAATTCATTATCCAAACCGATCATTGCCCATTGCGTGATATGCATAAAAAATCATCAAACAATCGTCGAGTCGATCGTATATCATTAGTGCTACAACAATATAATATTAAGGAAATTCGTCATATTTCAGGTAAATGTAACTGCATGGCTGATTATTTAACTAGGTATCCTCGCCAAATTGAGGAAGATGATGAATTTTTCGATTCCGACTTTGGACATATTCCAAATGTTTATTCTCAATCATCTAATATGATTTTCCAAGATAATTTATCAATTAATCCCCAAATTGTTAGTGCAGTTACTACCAGAGCACAAACTAAAGCACAAGAAAAATCATTACCATCAACAGATCATAAAGTGCCAGTTGATGATTTATCAGTGTCAGATGATCAATCTCAAGAAGGATTAGGTCATGCATTTGATATTTCAAAAATTGGAGAAGCTCAAAAACAGGATAAATTCTATCAAGAAAAATTTTTAGAGCTAAATAAAAGTCACATTAATTCTTCCTATATGTTGAAAAATGATATATTATATAAATTAATTAAACGTGGAATAATTAAAAAAAAACTAGTGTATATACCGTCGTCAATGTTAGAACAATTATTATCAGCTTATCATGATGCACCATATTCGGCACATTTTGGTGTCCGCAGAACTTATCTAAAATTGAAGGATATTTATTGGTGGCCGGATATGAAAATTACTATTCGAAATTATATTCAAAGTTGTTTAAAATGCCAAAAATTTAATATTGCTCGAAATAAATTACCAGGTCTTTTACAGCCTATTGAATCACCAACCGGTCCTTTTCAATTAATTGGAATCGACTATTCTGGTCCTTTCCCTATCACTCCTCAAGGAAATAAATACGTGTTAGCAATTACCGATTATTTTACAAAATGGGTTATTGCGATTCCTTTACCTGAACAAACTGCAAAAATAACGGCCGAAACTCTATATGAATATTACATAACAATTTATGGTATTCCATCTAGAATACTGTCCGATCAAGGAACTCATTTTAATAATCAGTTAATTGCAGCATTTACGGCTATTCTTGGATGTCATCATATTAAATCAACAACGTATCATCCTCAAACAAATGGAGCAATCGAAAGATTTAATTCAACATTTGAACGTCAATTAGCAAAATTAACCAATAAATGTATTAATGATTGGGATATACATTTAAAATCTATTGTATTTGCGTACAACACGGGATCACACGCCGCCACAAAATTTACTCCTTACGAATTACAATTTGGACGACGACCACAATTACCACCAGAAAAACCATTAACAACTTATCAATTTTCAAAACCTAATGATTACATATTTTATTTTAATAAAACATTAAACATTTATCGTCATCATGCACTGAATAATATTTTTAACAATCAGAAAACTTATAAAAAGTTTTATGATCGTAATCGTCCAGAAAAATATTATTCCATTGGTGATCACGTGCTCAAACGAATTCCGACTCAACCTTCTAAACTAGGGGAACTTTATTCAAATCCAATGATTATCATTAAAAAACAACATCCAACATATTTTGTTCAGGATCTTGATAATAAAAACATTTATCAAGTACATGTTTCTCAATTACGTATGTTTAACTTTAATCGTTTAGTATTATAATACTATTTTTGTTTTTTCTCGTTATATTATGATTGTTACGTCATCTATTAACTATTGTTAAACATACAGTATTTTCCATATTTACACATACACCTATCTGTATGTTTCTTTCTTTCCTTTTCGCCTCCTCTTTAGATTGAACTATGATACTGTTATTGGTTACTTACTATTATTTGTTTTTCTTTTTTTTCTCTCTTCGTTTGTTTATTTTGTTATTTAACTTGGATTTCGTTCTTTGTTATTTGTTGTCTATTATTTCTTATATTATGACTACAAGAAATCCTTCACAAACTACTTCGAAGCTTCAAGCAAAAAACAAAAAAGAATCCATTTATGCAGCATTATTTTCGCCTTATCAATCGCCGTACAAGTATCAAATTTATTTTATTAATCAATCAACCTCATCTCAAGATCTTGATTATTTAATCGATATTGTTCAAACTTCGACTGATTTTATTATTGATACCGAATCGGCGTTTAAATCAAATATTCCAGCATTAATCCAAATATATTTTCTTCAATCAACTCGTATTCAATCACCATTATTATTAGTAGAGATACAACATCTACCTCATTATTCAACCGCATTGTTTTCACAATTAAAAAAACTATTTTATTGTATTTTCAACGTTAAATCACATTTTTATTCATGGGGTCCATTAACTAATGAATTACGTTCCTTTTCTTCGTGTTTACTCTTTACATTTCCTCTTTATGTAATTACTCATGACCTTCAAAGTCAATTTAAAACTTGGTTTAATACTTGGATTACATCTTATGATTCAACATCTATCAACGAATCAATTACAACCGACGACGTTGTAATCATAAATGCCCCAACATATGATCCTCATTTACTATTACCAACGTCCTTAATGAATAAAAAGAAGTTTAACTCACATGAAAGTTGGAGTTTACAACATGCGGTACTGTACACGTTTGGTTTACATCTATCAAAACGTGAAACCTTACGTCAATGGGATATTGGCTTGGATATTAATTTACCTACATGTGATCACTCATTTTCAATCAATTATCGTCAAAAATTAATTAATTATGCTTGTCTTGATTGTGTTTCGGTAGCACATATTAATTTGTTTATGCATCAATCTGAACTTCCACTTGATCTTACTTTTGTAAAAGAGCAAATTATTACAGGCGAGTATTTTGTTTCAACTAAATCAAATGTTGCTTCAGATATATTTCAGCTCGATGATGCTTGTTCTTCATCTTCGTTTGAACAAATCGACGCACAGGTTATGGCCGTTCATGTTCCAAATGATCGCCATCAATCTATGCCTTTAATTACGTCTATGGATTCTCAACATTTAGTATCAGTATCTCCACTTGAATCAACACCTGATGAAATTATTACCAATTTGAATAGTCAATCAGTTGAATGTTCTCCTCATAAACGATCAAACAATGCTAAACGTAGGAAAAATCAAAAGTCTAGTCTCCGACATCGTCGCAAGAGATACCATCATGAGATCATACGTCCCGCCAATATGAAAATTACATCCATTAAACAACTGTTACGTAAAAATCATATTAAATATTTAAATATCCACGTTGTGCATTCAACTCTTTTTATCGGCGTCAAATCAGATGGCTTTAAGCAATTATATGAACAAATAATACCGGCCGATATGTTTGTTTAGCTTGTATGGGGGGAGGTGTTAGGATCTGCCATCTATATATCTTATATAGATGGATGATCCTCCTCCTCCTTCTTTTTCTATCTGTTTCGTTGTTACTTCTCTTTTTCTTTTTTCTTTTTTTTTCCTTTTTTTTTGTT